AATTTTTCGTGACCTCGGCAAGACGCAGGACTTCCTTTCTCGAGGAAACACTTCAGACCACGGCAAAATGAGAAAGAACTTTGCCCTATTCCTGTCATGAAGTGTCACTGTTAAACATTCCCACACTCCTTCATGAGTTAGCACATAACCATATTTCAATTTCGTGAATTTAGAGCACCAGTGGTGTAACTGTTATCACAATTGCCCGGAAAGCAAGAGATGCGGGTACAAATCCCGCCTGGGGCGAAAGTTTTGCCCACAACTCAGCATTCTTGTGATAACATTCGCAACGCGAACTGCGGCGTAAAACAGCAGTTATCCAATAAAAACAAGTCAAAAACTATACTCCAATAATTTTTATTTTTCAGCACCATGTGTGACAGTGCTTGTACCTACAGTGGTGAACTTCATACTGACCGTACACGATCATTCCTTCGTCTCTTCACTCTGTCTCACGCGCGAAGCTGTCTATCCTGGTTTTCATTCATATATATTGATTATGCGAATGGTTTGCATCATATCATCCGGACTATTATACCTGCATATTGTTCTACGGCTTAAACAGGTAATCTAAACCATTTTTATCTTAAAATGATCTCTCTTATTGTAGCACAACAATGAAAGCATTTTTATGATATCCGTAGTACATTTCCTAACTGCTTGCTTATGGAGCGTTCAGTTGGCGATGGTACGAGCGATTAGGCGATTAGGCGAGTAGGCGAGTAGGCGATAAGAGAAGGATACGTATTGATTTGTTGCTCCGCCCATTGAGCGATCGCCTAATCGCCTAATCGCCTACTCGCCTAATCGCCTACTCGCCTACAACGCTCTATGGGCGGAGCAAACCAATCAATACGTATGTAGTCTTCCCCGCCTAATCGCCTACTCGCCTAATCGCACGTACGATCGCCAACTCTGAACGCTCCATTAGTTTGAACATGCCTATGTATTGAAAACGGTGGCAATATATGTCCCTCTATTTCAGCATGTTGCCAAGCACGAAAAGGCGTGGCATCGGGTTCGATACGGCGCAGCTGCGGAATATCCGGCATTCTACAGTGACTGTTGGTGAGTAGTGATTAGCAAAACTTTGGCGGATTACCGATGAGTTTATTCGACTCATGGAGGTTTATTTGACACTTCTAGAATAATTTTTTGAATGTGTGAAGGGGGGCATACTGATAGAATGAGAAAGTTGTTTGCAGCCAGTTCTTAGGTGAATGCGGCGATGTTTTTTTCTGGTGATTGAAAAAAGGGAAACAAATTCGGGCATTCGTTGATAGACTTGTTTTGATCGTGCCCTAGTCAGAGGTGGCTTCGTTAAGACACTGTTTGGATAGCTCTTTGATAAGTACCGGCTAGATCAGCCTTAAATCGGTGAAAAAGCAATCCTGGGCCAAGGGCATGAAATTTTTGCCTAGGTCTAATGGGAAGAAGTGATGGGCTAGGGAAGGAGCTCTAGAGTGAGGCTCGTTTACCACATGCGAAAAATTGGATTGATTATATTGGATCTAGGACAGTTCAGCGGCCGAAAGTACTTTGAATAATGGTGTTATCAAACCTCTCCATACCCCTTGAAATTCTTACCGCTTTGAAATGTGCCTAGCCGTTAAAAACTCGGATTGCAAAGGAGTATGTCAATAACCCCATTTTGACCCTCACGGAAATCCACATTTTAAAAGCACAACTCTAAACCCTTGTGGTAGGATGCGCTTGAGAAAATTTCAAACAAGAACCCCAGATCAG